CAAAATGTAACAATAAATAACTTTTATTGTATCTTTACTCTGATGTGTGAGCTTTGTTTTCTTGAAAGTGCTGTTCAATAGAAACATGAAGAACCGGCTATGAAAAAGAACTTTGGAAAACTTATGTTGTGTCCATGCCAAGTGCAGTAATCATTATTATTTTGGGCCAAACCTTGTCTAATAGAATTGTTTGAGGGTCCCCACAGAGAAGACTTGGAGAAAAGTGCTCCTCAAAGTTACAATGCCTTTGGTTTAAAGGCAACCCCAGAGTTAAAAACAATAATTTAGTATTATTCGGATGTAACATCAAATCCCATGCAAGAGGATATTTTATAACAAACCATAACCTTGTTGATCTCTGACCTCTGGTCAAATCCGGTGGACTACAAGACTATAGTATCCCATTTTAATCAATAGATCCAAAAGCATGTAACAAGCATAATTCTTAGTTTTCCGATACGTATATTAAATTCTTAAGAGTCTCTTGCATTTGTTAAGCTTGACCAAATAATCAGTGAACTTCAGAAAGTGGAATAATTGAAAGCAATAGGTTTTTTTGAAGCGGGACAAAAACAAAATGACCAGGGATGATAAGTAAGATTTTCACTTTGTGGGTTTTCAAGAAGAAAACGCGGGCACAGTACCCTCAGAAATCCCTTGTAAACCTGTTGTATACCTGGACGGAACTGCTTCAAGACATAAACCAACAGAACATCATATTCGAAAAAACAGATATTTTACTCACAAATGACTCGTTTGCACCAAAACAATAACCTGAATTACAGCCGTCTTCTCCGGCCAGTCGCTCACTCGCGGGAGAGAAACAGATGCAACGGGAAAAATTACAATGAATTATAGAACAACTCACTTTTTAGTTGTTTCCAAAGCATTCTTTTTTCCTTATGATATTAAAAAAATAATGAAATAAATAGGCACAAACTTGTTAGCGTGCTTACCTATTTTCGATGTACTGATTACAAACGCAGTGATTACAGTACGCAGTGCCTACTAAGCGCGCGATAAGCGAAGAACTATAGCGCAAGAATGGTTACTCCCTGTCCTCAAGGTACTTCCCAATTCATAGTAACGAAAAGACAAATAAAAGGCTCGATAAAACAAGAATAAAGGAGAATTTTGGTCAATACTCTTTCTTCTCCTCTCCCTCGTCCGCCATTTTGTATGTTTTGAAAATGGCCATCGCCATGGTGATCATGTTATGGTTGGTGACGTAGACCATTGTTTTCGCTTCTTCCAAAACTGGCATACTCCCGAACTGGTTAAAGTTAAAATATGTTTGTTGATTCATATGCTATTTTAATAAATTTATGTGTTCCCCCCCCCTGACCAAAGTTCATAAATACTGTACAGTGTTTTGTACATATTGTACCAATGAATGAAATACATGTACTGCTGCATATCCTGAATCTCATTTACTGCCAGGCCTCAAAACACTAGAATGGACAACAACTCAAGTTGGGGTTAAATGGCTATGGGCTAGAGCCGTGTTAAGGTGAATGTTCCATGCAGCCTACAATTAGGGTAAGACTTGTTAATCACTCCCTAAACCCCTCTTAGCATTAACCCAGATGCCATCATGCCATCAGAAGTAGTAAAAGAAGTAAAAGTGAGGTGGGCAAAGCATAAAAAATCTATTGCAAGCAAATATTTCATGATTAAATTATTATTATACATACATATGTACTAGTCAAAGCTCTCGCAAGCGAAAACACCAGAAATGCAAAAAAGTGGTTGTATCCACACTCTGGTCTCTTACAAGAATGAGCTCTCATACAATGTAAGTGACTACATTGTTAAAACAATGGAGGGTGGTTAAGTTGCTTAATGAGAGCTTCAGGTACTCATTATAAAATAATTAAGTGTTCTCCCTGGTATTTTTGGTAGGCCAGGGGGTCTCCCCAGACTGATCGGAGATTCGTATCAGTGCTTGTTCAATGCAAAGCCTGCTGTAGCCAGAATAAAATTTCATTGGGAATTTCATTTTAGTCGTTCACTTGGTTAATAGCAAGTAGTTGTTATTGACCTTTGATTCTCTTTTCTGATCAGCCCCCAAATGGCAGCTTCATTCTCATAATCAACATCCTCTCATGATTTTTGATGTTTGGAATTGATTGATTTCAGGAAATTTGGTGTTGCTTTAGATACTGAACTTCTTCCACCAGATTTCCATCACTTTTCTTTCTCTTTTCCACAGTAAAAAAGTTAATTTGCATTGACAAGCTTCCCCTTTTTTGTTCCACGAGTTTTCCATTGTGAGTGGCGATACTGCTTAAAAAATGTGACACTGAGCGTGGGAATTTCAGTTCTTACTCTATATAAGCTCCTTAACCCTTTCACTACTACAGGCTAATGGCCCCCAACCCCCCATCTTCCTGAACAATTATCAAGGATCTAAGATGGCTGTGATACTTAATCAAAACATGCATGCTCAGTAGATTTCAGAGCCTTATTTCACACAATTAACTACACAGACATGAAGCCAAGAAGTCATTCCATAAGTTTAAAGAATTAATAAAGACAACTATCCCTGCATTCACAAGATATTTAAGATAAAATCGCAAGTAACGAAAAAAAATTCAAATTTGCCGCCATTTGCAGTGCCATAATTGTCAAACTTTGAATGAGAATTTATTTGTAATCCATCACAATATAGCTTACTTTTTTACAGCAAAACAAGGGAAATTATTAGAATATAACAAATATGCCACATTTGTGTTCACAAAGGTGAAATTTTTATGACTGTGTGTGTAAGGCATTGTCATACATAGCCTGTTCGGCATAGTGTCACGTTGCAAAATGCTATATTCGTATCTTGTTTCCACTTTGTAGCCCTTGGGTGTTCTTCGCCCTGTTTGTTCACTGTACACATTTCCTTTTCCTGCCCTCCATACGAGCTGAAACATATTGATTTGAGGGTACAGTATGGTTCAGTTTGGAACCTTGTTCCATCTACGCTTTCGCTTTAATTGCAATAAACCATCGATCGTTGGTGTGCGAGGTCAAGTTTGAAATCAAGTGTTTTGCGCTTCGATCCAATGCGTTCCAATTCAAGAACAAAAGCATTACAAACAAATACATGAAAGAGGAACCAAAATATGTATCTATACCACTTCTTTGATTGCTACTCCGAACAAATAAAAAGAATGAAGCTGATCAGCACAATCCACGCCGCCATGCGAGAAGTGTAAACATCTGAAATTGAAACTCTCGGGTTCATCACTTGCGGTTGAGTTGTTGTCGCTTTTACTGTCTTCAGACTCACTTTCGCCGCTTTCTTCCTTAGAAAATTCTTGCACTTCGATGTCAGATAACTCTGCATCAACATTCAAATCAGTAGAACTTAAATTACTCTTACTATCATAGTCAGGACCAAAAATCGCATTGATTCGGCGGCAGCCATATTGATAATCAAAGACAAAATACAAGCCTAAAGCATGTTCAAATCTACTGAATATCTATAATTATATTATAACTAGCGAACTAACTTCTCTTAAAAGCAAATAGACAAAAGAAGGAAATGTCAACCATCTGGCTTTTGGTGTGTTTTATGGCATGAGAGAAATCCAGTATACAAATTGCGTGCGTAGGTTCACGCACGTACGTCTTCGTAGCGAAGCCAAACTTCGGCCCTTCACTACTCGCCTCATGCGAATTACTGTATGCGCACTTCTTGTGATTTGATTGGTTTATGCCTGCTTATAACAATGGAACAATAAGTATTGACAAAGACTGCCTTACCTAGGGTATACAGCGCATTTTTTTGCACCCTTTTCTTGGGGCCGCTTTTGGCCGCTCTAGGAAAAATTGGCCATTTCCGGCTGGCCGCTTTTGGCCGCTTTAGTAGTGAAAGGATGTTTGTCGGTCAATTTTAAGATGGCTGCTGTTCAGTGAAATGAATGCAATCACAGGTTTAAACCTGTTCATCCAATGGTAAATCACTTTTATAATGACAGTTAATTATGGGAAAACACAAATAAAAACACCATGGAGAAGGTTTCATCAATGTTGTTGAGTGGTTTAGTCCCTGAAGTACCTAGTTCTAAATGTAGATGTCAGCATATTAGCATCCATTGGGATAAACCTTTGGTTTTAATCCAGGTGGCAACAATTTTTCAGTGCATTAAGCCAGGCAGCTTGCCTAGCCTTAAACACTGTAATTCATAAAGAAAAGACAAAAGAAATTTAAAATGTTTAATCAATGTCTTTACATTTAATATAGACACAGCTAAACTTTACATCCAATTTTTTTGGACCAAAATATAACCCCACATCTAATATACATGTACATGTAATATTAGTGGAATAATGAGTTGATCTACAGCAGAAATGTTTGAAGAAGTCTCTGAGTGGCCACTTATGAGAGCTTAAAAACAAAGGAAAAGTCTTGCAGTTCCAGGGTAATCCCAAAAGTGGCTGCGGTTGCTTACGGGAGCTGCTGGCGAAATAATATTATACCTGTCAAGGACATAGCCCCCTTGTGACTGCAGCGCTGCGCAGTCAGCGGTATGTTGTAAAAGCTTAGCAGCCGCACCAGATTTTAGTAAGCGGCCGCCATGTTAGCCCTTTCTCGTGTTGTTCAAGTTTTTGGATAGTTATCGCCATCCATCGGACATTATACGGCCTAAACGGTAAGAACTGTTAAAAGAACATTTTACGGAAAATCCCAAGAGAGTATTTCACACGACATTTTGAAGTTTAGTACTTACGAATCACGTATTTAGCCTATCATGTATTTGTCATGTCAGATTGTTATCTCGGGACTCAGGATCCAAGAACTAAGGAGTAAAAAGAATGTGTTGTACCGAGGACCTGTGAATAAACTACGTTTGGGACGTTCGTGTTGATTGTTAGCAACTCCTCTTGTTGTATGTACTACGGGAGGCCAGCCACAATAACAATCGTTAGACGATCTTCGTGTAGCAGTCATGTCCGTCAACAAAGAAGCAAGACCCGAAGACCAGGTCAATGTGGCGCTGGAAGAAGAAACTGATGAATCAAGGAAGCGTTTCCTGACGGAGAAAGGGTATACGTATCAACTCAACTTGAAAACAAGTAACTTGAAAACTAAGAAATGTGAACTGGTGAAGCGAATGAGAGGTACTCTACTGAAGCGAGGTCAGTCAACTAAACTAGTAGAATTTAAGAAAGAATTCAGCGAAGCTCAGATTTTGTATTGCGAATTTCAAGACATGGTTGAAGAGATTAAGGTTTTTGCGAACCCAGATGAGAATGTGGAAAATATTGAAAGAATGGTTGATCAAGTTGGCAGAGAATGGTCAAATTTTGAGTGTGACATTAGATCAGAGATAAAGTTTCTGGAATTTGTCGAACACCACGTGGATGATTCAATCTCTGAAGCATCCAAAAGGTCCAGTCGAGCATCCAAGAAAAGTAGTAGGTCAAAAAATAAGTTCCAATGATAATGTTGAAGAAGATAGGTTTCAGTTACAAAAGGAGGAAGCTGCCTTAAAGGCTAAACTGGCCTATATAGAGAAGGAACGGTTACTGAGATTAGAACACAGAAAGACTGAGTTGACCAAATTAGAACAAGAAAGAAAGTTGGAAGAGCTAAGATTACAAAGTGAACTTGCTCAGAATCAAGCAAAGCTTAATGTATGCATGTCAGCAGATAAAGTAGAACTGTTTGATGATCAGGATCTAAACTCGATTCCCCCCGCTGATAAAGTCAAGGACATGGACAAATTCCTTAATTCAATTCCAGTCACAAGTAATAGTGATCTCTCTCCTGGTCAGCAAGAACCTATCTACTCTTCAACTCAGTTAAATGGAGCCCAACCCACTTTCAGTCTTCCGCGTGTAGAAAATGGAGTGCACAGTACGTTAAGCCCCAGTGCCACACCCTTTCAACCACACTCTGTCGTCTTAGAAAAGTGTATGGACAAATTAGTGGAAACAAGTAGTATGTTGGTGGCAGCTACTATGGAGCAGAACCTAGTGAACAGGCAACTAGCAATCTCAGGGCAACTGCCTTAAGATTTCAATCCCAGTTTTTAGTGGAGATCCTTTGGAGTATCCTACATGGAACAGTTCCTTCAGTGCCCTTATTGATTCCAAACCAATGGACGCGCAGACAAAATTGAACTTCCTACATCAGTACATCTCAGGAAAGCCCAAACAAGTTGTTGATCAGTATATGTTAATTGGTACTGAAGATGCCTATCAGTCTGCGAGAAAGTTGTTAAAGGAAAGGTATGGTAACTGCAATGTAGTAGGGACAGCCTTTATGAACAAACTGGAGAACTGGCCTAAGATTGGCGTAAGAGATGCGGAGGCCCTAAGAGATCTTTCTGACTTCCTGCAAAAGATAATTGCCGCCAGAGAAACTACTCCTAGTCTTGCTGTCTTAGACTTTGCGAAGGAGAACGTTAAAACTCTAAACAAGTTGCCATTTCAAATTCAGAATAAGTGGAGAGGAATAGTACAACAGTGTAGAGTCTCAAAAGGAAATGGTACTTACCCTGCCTTCTCTGAATTTGCTTCATTTGTGAAAGAGTGTGCAGAGAGAGCGAACATTCCCGAACTTGAGGAGCTGTCCAAAACCAAAGAGTTTGTTAGGCCTAGAGGACCATTCAGACGCTCACCAAAAGGCGAGGAGGCCTTTTCCTTCGAAACTCATGTATTGGATCCAAGCAAGAACGTGACTGCCCAGGGTCAAGGTGAAAAGGAGAGACCCCAACCTGTTCGCAAGGGAGGAGCGAGAAGAAAAAGACCGAAGTATGTCTGTTTTGCAAGGAAGAACATCAGCTAGACGAGTGTAAAAAGTTTGCAGAGAAGCCGCACAAGGAAAGGAAGGACTTCTTCTATAAGAAATTTCTTTGTCTTGGATGTGCCTCTAGCAGTCAACATCAAGTATCCTCCTGTAAGAACAGACTTAAATGTCGCACGTGTTCTGGAAATCACCCTACATGTCTCCATATTCAGAAAACTCCCAAGGAAAGTATTACGAACTGTACAAATGTTTGTACCATCCCAGAGCAAGAGGGCGGCTCGGATCATGCCATGATTGTACCTGTTTGGGTTAGACAAGTTAGCCAACCCAGTAAAGAAGTCTTACAATATGCAGTGCTAGATGACCAGTCCAATGTGAGTTTTGTGTCGCAAAGTTTGTGTGAAAAATTGGACTTGCAAGGCCCACCAACCGACTTGCTGCTGACAACAGTGCAAGAGAGAAATGTACATGTACCAAGCAACCGTATTTGTGGAGTTGAGGTGTTGGATTTTAGAAGGAGCATGCTGTGAAGCTACCCATGATGTTCAAGCGAGATATCATCCCAGCCAGTCGGTCGCAGATTCCAAAAGCCAGTGTTGCCCGGAAATGGGAACATCTGTGTCCTATTGCTGACGAGCTCATGCCCTACAATCCAAGTGTGGAAATCTCCTTGCTGATTGGCAATAATTGCCCTAGTATCGTCAGACCCAGAGAAGTCCTAGTGGGAGGTGAAGACGACCCTTACGGCCAAAGATCTTTAATGGGGTGGGGTATAATCGGCAAGGTGTGCAAATCTACAGGTGAAGCCAACCATAAGGAGGAGTGTGCAACAAGGTGATGGTCAAAGAAACCCATGAACACTTTGCCTTTACGACAAAGGTGAAAGAGATTATCAACCCACAGAAGATTATTAAGATTCTTGAGTCAGACTTTACAGAAAGTTCTGCAAATACCAAGCCCTGTTCAGCTGAAGACAGGAGATTCCTCAACATCCTTGAGAATGGTATTGTGAAGAGATCGGATGGGCACTACGAGATGCCTCTCCCTTTGAAGACAGACAAACCGTCTCTACCCTTCAACCGCGAACTAGCTGTCAAGAGATGGCACCAACTTTTAGCAAGGTTTAAGAGAAACCCCAAGTTTCTGGAAGATTATCGCTTATTCATGAAAGATGTGATTGCTTTGTGTGCAGAAGAGGTACCACCGGACCGCCATGGAGTTCAGGATGGAATGGTTAACTATGTACCACACACCGGTGTTTACCACCCAAAAACCAGACCAGATCAGGGTTGTTTTTGATTGTTCGGCCCAGTATGAAGGGGTGTCCCTGAACGATCACTTGTTACAAGGACCCGACCTCATGAACACTCTTCTGGGGATCCTGTGCAGATTCAGACAAGAAAATGTTGCGTTTATGACTGACATTAAGAGTATGTTTCATCAGTTTATGGTGTCAGAGGAACACAGAGATCTCCTGCGCTTTTTGTGGTGGAAGGATGGGAATCCTGCAAATGAAGTGACTGAGTATAGGATGAAGGTTCATCTTTTCGGTGCTGGTAGTTCACCTGGCTGCGCAAATTTTGGTCTAAAGAGAGCAGCAGATGATGGGGAGAAAGAGTTTGGTGAAGAAGCTGCTGAGTTTATACGACAGGACTTTTATGTGGATGATGGACTAAAATCAGTCCCTACCGTGGAGCGAGCTGTTACACTGATAAAAGCAAGTCAAGGCATTTGCGCCAAGGCCGGCCTGAGACTGCACAAAATTTCATCAAACAAAAGAGAAGTTCTTGAACAGATTCCGGCCGAAGATCGCGCCAAAGGATTAAAGGAGCTAGACTTGAAGGTTGATCCACTGCCCTTAGAACGTGCCTTAGGAGTAGTGTGGTGCATTGAGAATGACAGTTTTCAATTCCGCATCGAGCTGCGTGACCGTCCCCAACGCGACGTGGCGTACTTTCCACAATCAGTTCAATCTACGATCCTAGTGGTTTCGTTGCCCCAGTTACCTTGAAAGGAAAACAAGTTTTGCAGCAAATGTGCCGAGACAAAGCTTGATTGGGACAGCCCAATTCCAGAGAGTTTGTATACTCATTGGGAGAAATGGCGTCAGGATGTTCTGAATCTCGATCAGCTGCAAATTCAACGTTGTTTTAAGCCGGAGAACTTTGGGCAGGTCAAAGCCAGCGAGTTGCATCATTTCTCAGATGCTAGTGTAGAGGGTTATGGACAGTGCTCGTACCTTCGACTAATCAATGTGGAGGACAAGGCGTACTGTTCCCTTGTCATTGGGAAATCTAGAGGGCCCCGTTAAAGCAAATCACTGTGCCGAGGCTAGAATTGGCTGCAGCTACTGTTTCAGCAAACGTGAGTGAATTTCTTCGTCGAGAATTGTCTTACACGGACATTAAGGAACATTTCTGGACAGACAGCAAAATCGTCCTTGGTTATGTTAACAACGAAGCTAAGAGGTTTCATGTGTATGTGGCAAATCGTGTGCAGCAGATTCGTGACGTCACTAACCCGAGTTCTTGGTTGTATGTCAGCACTGAACTTAATCCTGCTGACCATGCCTCGCGAGGCCTTACAGCGTCACAGTTATTACAAGGAACCAACTGGCTAACTGGACCCTTATTTCTTTGGAAGAGTGGAACTTTCCTGCCTGAGAAGATAGAAGAATTTCAAGTGACCGAAAGTGATCCTGAAGTAAGGAAAGCAGCCGTTTTCACATCTCGTGTAGAGAGCAGAGCTACTCAAGCCCCTGAACCGTTAACGTCAAGCCGTTTGCGCCACATGTCAAGCTGGCAGCATGTGCTGAAGGCAATAGCTTTGTGTCTACGACTGAAGAGCAAACTGGCAAGTAGAGAAGTGAAGTTGACGAGACAAACGGGTGGTGAGAGCATCAGACCATTACCGAAGGTATCAGTCACACTTACAGAACTTCACGCAGCAGAGAGGGAAGTTCTTAAGGTTGTTCAACGTGAACATTTCCATGACGAGATGCAAGTTTTAAAGGAACTTAAGGAAGTTGGAGAGCTTACTACTAGAAAGATCGCAAGAGAAAGAAATCTAGCCGTCAAGAAGTCTAGTTGCTTATATCGTTTGGATCCATTTCTCGATGAAAACGGTGTTATCCGCGTTGGTGGCCGCGTGAGACGAGCTAACCTTCCATTTGCAACGAAGCATCCTGTGATACTTCCTCGTAAAAGTCATATTACAGATTTGCTGATTCGATTCTGGCATGCCAAAGTGAACCACATGGGACGAGGTATCACCCAAAATGAGTTGCGCCAGAGAGGCTACTGGGTTGTTGGTGGATCGTCAGCAGTGTCAAATTGTATTTCCAAGTGTGTTACATGCAGAAAAATGCGCGGCCCCCCTGCAAATTCAGAAGATGGCCGATTTGCCTGTGGATCGAGTTGAACCTTCGGCCCCCTTCTCGTATTGTGCTGTAGATTTCTTTGGACCTTTCCCGATCAAGGAAAAGAGGAGTGAAGTTAAACGTTACGGAGTTATTTTTACCTGTATGGCCAGCAGAGGTGTTCACTTGGAGACAGCCAACTCGTTAAGTACCAGTTCCTTCATCAACGCACTTAGTCGCTTCCTCAACCGACGCGGTCCAGTCAGACAGCTCCGCTGTGATCAGGGTACAAACTTTGTAGGAGCGAAGAATGAGCTAAAAGCTGCCTTAGAAGAACTGGATCAGAACCGGGTGCAAGAGTACTTAGTGGAGAACGGATGTGATTGGATACCATTTCAGATGAATGTACCTCATGCCAGCCACATGGGTGGCACATGGGAAAGGTTAATCCGAACTGTTCGTAGTGCACTGGAGACGTTACTTCTGAGCGCTGGCACACAGTTGGACGACGAAGCGTTCAGAACCTTCATGACTGAAGCAGAGTGTATTGTTAATTCCAGACCCTTGTCTACGAACGACTTAAATGACCCAGAGGCACCAGAACCACTTACGCCCAGTCATTTACTTACCTTGAAAGCTAAAGTTGTACTTCCACCGCCTGGAAGGTTCCAGCGAGCAGATCTATATTCCCGCAAGTGGTGGCGCCGAGTACAATATCTCGCGAACGAATTTTGGCTTAGATGGCGCCGTGAGTATCTTCATAGCCTGCAGGCTCGTAACAAGTGGATGTATCCAAAGCGAAATCTATCAGTTGGAGATGTAATCGTATCCAAGGAAGACGAAGGACCACGTAACCAATGGCCACTCGCTAGAGTCGTAGAAGTCTACCCTAGCGAAGACGGATGTATCAGAAAAGTCAAAATTGTGAAAGCTGATGGAGAACTTGACAACCAAGGCAGACGTCGAAAGCCATCTACGTTCCTGGATAGACCAATCCACAAATTAGTCTTACTGGTACCCTCTGCAGATGAAGCGGATGTTGGTGATAGCAGCAGGGAGACCGAGGAATTCCCCAACGAGGAGCCAACTACTCAGTGAAGTCGCCCCGACAGGTGTAGAAGACACAAGTGACCGCCTTTATGAACATTTGTTTTGTTTAACTGTCTAGTATGGACATTAACTTAAGTAATTGTTAGGCAACAATTAGGGGCCATGTGACTGCAGCGCTGCGCAGTCAGCAGTATGTTGTAAAAGCTTAGCAGCCGCACCAGATTTTAGTAAGCGGCCGCCATGTTAGCCCTTTCTCGTGTTGTTCAAGTTTTTGGATAGTTATCGCCATCCATCGGACATTATACGGCCTAAACGGTAAGAACTGTTAAAAGAACATTTTACGGAAAATCCCAAGAGAGTATTTCACACGACATTTTGAAGTTTAGTACTTACGAATCACGTATTTAGCCTATCATGTATTTGTCATGTCAGATTGTTATCTCGGGACTCAGGATCCAAGAACTAAGGAGTAAAAAGAATGTGTTGTACCGAGGACCTGTGAATAAACTACGTTTGGGACGTTCGTGTTGATTGTTAGCAACTCCTCTTGTTGTATTTACTACGGGAGGCCAGCCACACCCCTCTACACTGTTATTATTTTGTGCTATGATATTTATCATTTAGCTAGTCAATTGCATCACAGTTCGTTAGTATTATCATTAATATTTTTATCTTTTCATATTTGTAAATAGTTGTTTAAAAAGCCCTCTTGGGAACTTCTATTAAAGATATGTATGTATGACTTAATATCTATAGGTTGCACGCGTAATGCATGTTTTCCACAAGCAAAAACTGTGCTTTTTTATTGCGATGGTGTGTTTATCGTTATTTTCTTTCAAACAATGTATAATAAAACAATTATTAGAATGGTATTTGCGATATCCAGAATAATCAAGGTTGAGTTAAGTGTTAATCAGCCTCGACCTTCGCCTCAGCTGATGAACAGTTACCTCGACCTTGATTATTCCGGCTATCACAAAAACATTCATCCAACATAGTATTGTTTAATAATATAATGATGATTACTTTGATTCACAACAGTTTGATTGCCATGTGATGATGAGAGATGTCAGAAAGGCAAGGTAGAACGTTGCGGGAGGATGTGAAAAAGAGTGCAAACAAAGTCTTTCAGAAATGGAAAAAGAAACCAAACAAGTCAGGTAAGACAACTTTTTTGGGAAGTCTGTCATAATTGCGATAAGTTAGGGCCTATATATAAATTGGCTGGCCCACGTCACAGGCTGCCTCCTTGGTGATTTATCCAGTCCAAATGTTGGCCTGCTTAGTTTTACTCTGCTGGCTTGGCTCATGTTTATAGGGGAAAGTAGTCTGGCAATGTGTGTCTTGAGCAACTGGGATCACAGCAAGCCGGGCCAAACAATTGCAAGGCATGAGCTGAGCTACAGCCTGGCTAACTGTCTGGGCTGGCTCACCTCTGCAGGCCCTTAAAAAGTCTGTCAGCTAATTATGCAAATCTATATTGAAGGTTGTGATTTTACGCATTTTTAGTTTTAATTTGTTTCATCTCATTCGGAGAACAATCTTTTTTGTTTGCAAAAACTGGAACAGGATTTCTGAAGATCTGTTGATTGTGCGAAAGGCTCCCAGCAAAAATTTTGAGTCAATTCGGTTCCATAAATGTCTGACGTGCCGTTCAGCTGAAGCATGTCGTCGAAAGAGTTATCTGAGTAATTCGGACAGCAGACATCGAATTACTTCATTTAGCGAAAACTGTTACTGGTATATCTTGGGAATATGTCAATAGCCATGGCAGAAGAAACCGCTGGAGAACTTTTCAAGGGGAGAAGTTTGCGAATTCTCAATACTGTATTAAAAAACTCAGTGAAAACTAGAACTAACAGCTGAATTTAATGTCACGACAACATTCGCAAATCTCCTTGAACTCATGGATTGTGAATCGAGATTTAATGATAACCACCTTGTGGATTTTTCGAGAATCTGCAAAACACTCCCCATATTAAATGTTTCAGGTTGCACTGGTATCACTGATTTCGGTGTCAAAAAAGCCTTCCTAAATTAAGTGTTATTTTCATCAACATTTCTAATGGTACACACTTTTTCATTGATAAACTGCATCATTGAAACCTGAAACAGTGCACTGTTAACAGTATTTTAGTGCACCAAGTACGCTTGCTATTAGTATTTAAGTGCACTAGTGCACTAAAAATAATACTAATAACAGTGCACCGAAAAAGTGCACTTTGGTGCACTTGTGAGTGCACTGTATTACCTCTCGGGTTGGTCACCTTGGACATGCCGTTCAGGCAGACTAAAATTAATACACTTAATTTGAACAGTAAGGAAAAAATTAAGTAAATTATGGCTTATGGAAAAATATCCTTTGGTTATTGTGTAGCCTGTGTACAGACGTCCCCCCTCCTTCAAAAAAAATCCGGAGAAGAGTCTCTTCTCTTCATGCTGATAACATGTTCAGAATTTTCGTGCTAGAAAAAAATGGAAAACAAGTGTTTGTTTTATGTTCAAGTCATATTGAGTTAAAAAACGGACAAGGTTTGGCTATAAGTTTCTCCGAGCACAACATTTTATATTTCAGCGAATTAATGTAACGCTTGAGAGGTCAACACACAAACTGAATTTGCCTTATAATTTTGCAATTATGCAAATCCCTACCTCCATACTTTGCACTTAGGTTTAGTAAACATTACAATTATGCTAGTGCTGTAATTTCATAAAAATTGGTTGGAGCATTGACTCATATGATGCAAAAAGTATCCTGATTCAGTTGAACTTTGCGGTGTAAGCGAACAACATACACAGAGCCTGTTAAAGAGCAATAGTGTTTTTTTTCAGTCTGTACATCTGTATGTCAACGATGTTAACTTTTTGACTTGCATTCTTCGCATTTTCTTTCTTGCACTTCAATCAACTAACATTTAGAGAGAGTTTTTAAATTTTCTGTTCTTTTGCTCCATCTTTGAGTTTTAAACTCAGTACAAATTTTACAAGTGTTTATTGGCATGCATTTTTTACTATTCTCTATCAATATGAATTTTAATTATTAAATGAACATAATTTTGTTTTGAATATTAATTGATGAACAATTTTGCCATCAATATGAATAGGAAGCCAGTTCAAAGCTATTCAAAAATTAATGATGTCTGCGCCTACTCTGTACTATTGTATGTCGCATTTATTGTGCTGCCTACTGTATTTTCTATGGCATGGTATTACATGTAGATGATGTAATGCTTTCTTGTGGTATACATGTACTATGGAATATCCCATGTGTTACTTGTATTTTCTATATACACTCGCTTAAAGGTTTGTGAGTACAGTATACCAAGAAAATACAAACTTGGGTAATTCCGTGGTATACTGTACATGTACCACGAGACAGTGTTGCATAACTAGTATAAAGCTAATTGAACTTGTACTTTATAAAGCACCCAGTTTTTTTATTTTTTTTTATAAATATGTCCAAGTTTTAATTGAATTAATTTAATCTCAGCTTTAGGTTTTTTGTAGTGCCATTTATAATGTTCATGGAAATGCACTGATGAACATGTATGTCTTAATTCTTATTGGCTAATGAGATTTTGTACCAAAACAAATCATTTGGATGTATATAGCAGGGTATGTCCCCAACAACTGTTTGCATTTTAAAGCCGGTCTCAATTTCAATCGATCTTTGAATTATAATTATCATTAGCATTTTTGCTGCATCTTTTTTTTCATTTTTGAATTATACAGTTCATGTAAAGGCAAGTACTGCAGGAGCAGCTATCACCACGAGACCTGGTGCTGCTGGGCCTTCAGGTTTAATCAGCCAGACCCATCATGACCAAGGTACTACCATATTATATACACTGCATAACCAGCAGTAAAATGAAACACTGTTAAATGTGTTCATCTGAATCTTGAGGGAAATGAGGAGTCTCAAACAACGGTTTTCATGGACTACTATAATTATACATGTATAATCAGAGACCAGTTTGAGTGCGTGCTCTTGTCACTGTTTTCATGTGTTTTTTGTTGATATTTTCCCCCCTTACTGTAAGTTCCTGCGGGGTCCCTATTTTTCAGGAAAGGAGACCCTGTCCATGGGGCTTTTATTCATTAGTTTCTGTTTTTGGTCATTTGTATATTCATGACCGTAGTCATAATTAAATGGAACTATAACCCTGGGGTTACAGCACCGTGGTACTCACAAAAGTCAATAGATGCAACATTACTTGTGGTAGTATATCTGTAATGGTTGATCAAGTTGCTTGCACTTCATCAGGTATATTTTCAGCTTTCTGGTCTTTGAATCATACAGATTGAATTAAACCAATAAATTGTTATGAATATTTAATGAACGTGTCCAAATTAAATCAGCTTTAGTTTTTTTTTCTTATCGCCATTCTAGTTGGTTTTTTTCTAGTAACGGTATTATTATTTTGGCCGACTCAAGGCTGGCATTCGTTCAGGACCTGAGCAGGGAGGGGTGAGAGGTTTTATAGGTTTTTCAGAGTTCATGTTGTTGTTTGTTACGTTTGATATGATGCTTGGGAGGTATATTTGTTGGACAAGAAGCTGTAAGTTTGTTTGTCATTTACAAATGATGTGTTCGCTAACATCAACTGAGTTGCATAGTGCGTAAGGAAACGTAACTGGCATTCTGAAAAAAAAAAACATGCAGAAACGGCCGGTAACACAGCCCCGGACGGCTACAGCGGTGAAATGTCGCTCTCATAGGATTTGCGTTCTTTCACAATCCAATCTTTTCCGCGCCTTCCCCCCCTCCCCCCTACATAAATTTAGGCGAACTTTCCTGGAGTTGAATTACCAAAAACCATTTCCAAAGAAAAAAGGGAAAAATCGGCGTCGCTTGTTTACGTCCTCCATAGAAGGTGAAGTTGAGTATTTCGGCTCCGTCTACACATAATTATCTGGATATTTTTGAATCCGAAACTTTGTCTTTCCGGGTACGGCTTCCGTCCTCGCGTGTCCGTTGAATCCCTGCCTTTTTGAATCTGCTCTCCGGAGTGAAAGTTTTTGAATATGTTATGAATCTGCAGTAGTGTGAACGCTAAATCCGGATATTTTTTTTATTCGGTGATGTAACAAGATCGAGCCCAGTTCGTTACCATCAAAGGCAGAGAAAGATGAAAATTTCAAATTCGGTAGCGGGGACGACACCCAATTGAAAAATACAGCCAAATACACAAAATACGGTGCGGGGAAAGAATTGGCGATAACACATCGCGCGTCCATGATTTGAAAAGGGCTGGTAAAACACAGGCAAATCTTGGAAACTTTGCCTGCATCAAACATTAATTTTTGTTACATTTCTTTGCCACGGTGCGGTCACCACTGCACGACTTCAACTTCAAGGGAGTACATTTGTACTGAAGCGAGTTGGAATAATTGTAATAAGGATTAAAAGAGCGCAAATGCACTTTTTAAGCGACGTTTTCACCACTGTTGCCATTGTGGTGTCTTAAAATCCCTTTTGAGGAATTGACGCCTGGCGGGAAAATTACTACCGGTCATCGTCTTAGACCTTTCCGTAGTCCTTGCTAAAGGACTCATTACTTTCAAGTGCCTGCTCAGTGGCGAGCTAAAAGTCATGTAATTGACTACTGTACAGTGACTTGGAATAGTGGTGTTCTACTTTTGAGTACTGTCTATATTAACTGATCAGAAGAAGAATTAGGACTCTATGTAATGGTGATTCTTGTTGTTGGTTGTAGGCTCCTCTTCAGTTTCAAAGTCCACTCAAGAGAAAACCAATTATTCTCGTCTATGTCGCCTGCTGATCAGCATAGGCTCGTGAGTGCTAAGAGACACATTTGATAACATAATTCCCCCGGAGAATCTTCAAGAATACTTGAAACGTGACCCAGCGCACTCCAGACTACAGTTACTGCGAAAGAAAGGAGTCCTAACTTCAGTTCGTTGGAGTAAATTGTACCCTGCCACACCCACTGAAGTGTCATCTGCAAGCTTTGATATCGCCCTCTTGATTGTGCTTCTAAGGACAATCTGTAATCTGAGTCCTCCACCCGCTGGTTGGGACACACCTCCTCTTACAGCAGACACAAGTCGTGAATCAGACATTGCGCGGATTAAGTACTTCATGAACGCCGTGTCCAGACATGCCGCGGAAGGCGCTTTCACTGATCTTGAATTCAATAGCTACTGGCAGCAGATCCGTGACATACTAATGAGATTGGGTGGAGCTGATTATGGAGTTGTCATTGATGAAATGAAAGACCAGGACATTGAATTCCTTGATGGGGAACATTTCAGAGAACTTCTCAAGCAGTGGAAGAAGGTAGAAGATGACATCAAAGAGAAGCTGAATGAAATGGAAACTGAAGAAGCTTCTAAGGAGGAAGGTATGATTTACAGTAGACCTTTTGGAGCTCAGGGGTCTTTTCGGGATGCCATCCTTAACTACCAGAGATTGAAAAAAACCGTGGTGGATCTGCCAATTTTTTGGTCATAAACGGGGAAAGACTATGTATCAATGGGAAAAGGCGCTGGATCCAGGAATTTTTCCATACTATAAAAACCCTTTTAATTTTGCAGACATTCCAGCACCCATAAAGTCTTAGTTTTATGGTCAATGGTATAATCGTAACAACAATGTCCTTTTTTACCCTCGCCAGTATTTATGGCACTGATGCTGGTGGGGCTCAGCAAATACCTATCACAAATAATTCATTACGTTGCATCCCATAATTAAGTAGGCCATGGTGACGGACAAGCAGGACAAAACAGTGGAAGATCAGTTGATTCTGAAAAATTTGTAATTATAACGTGAAAGGTCTTGCGGCTTGTTTAAAAGTTATTTCCTTTGAGGTTTCTATTAAAGTATTAAAGAAAAACTTGTGGTAATGAAGCCGCTAAGTGAATTTAAGTGTTTCAAGTTAATAAACGTCGTGTAATGTTTTGTGGACTCTCCGTTGTAACATGCGGTATTTGAAGGTCTCCTGTTTTAATTCTTGACATGTCCATGCAGATCCCGGAGCGGCAAGTAGTGAAAGTATTACCATTGGATCTGGTGTTGCTGGTCCTTCGGGTTTAACCAAGCGGACTGATCATGACCAAGGTATGCAACTACTAACCCTATTAATGTGGCGACTACCCAACCGTGTTAACAAGGTGATAGCTTCTAATCGAAAAACATAACTTCAAGCCCCATTTACACGGCAGAAAATTTTTGGCGCGGCTTGGATGAAAGTGGTACGCGTACCAAAAAAATAGTACTAATTACTCATTTACACGTTCTTTTTTCTACCGTGCTAAACGATGTGGAATTATGATTTGGCACGGGTAAAAGGCTCAACATCTCGGCCAGCGTACTCGATTCTTGCCTAGTGCGCATGCTGCTTCCTCTGTAAAAATGTGGCGGACGAAAAGTTCATTAGAATTCCCACAGCCGCATGTAGTCTACGCACAAGGAACAAATGGGTGGTCATTGAATACTGGTGTGGTTATTGAATTATTGTGCGGTTATTGAACACACTGAACTAACGAAAAAGTCTTTACCACTTAGTTAATGCTACACATTTATATTAAAAAATTCTAACGTATTTGTGGCTATTTCCCCCGCAGCTGCCACGTTGTCCACGCTCATCAATGAACTAACGTGTGATCATTGAACTACTGTCGCGTTTATTGAACTTTTGGTTTATATTGAAGTAACGATAAAGCTCATCTGTACATGCTCTCCCACATTGGTGCTGACCAAAGGCACGAAGGCTCATCAGAGAAAAGTTAGCTCGGCACGGCTAATCGTTTACACTGCACACTTTATCCGAGCTGGGCTAGATTTTCAGGATCGCGTACCAGTTTTATCCGTGCTCGGACTACCTCTCAACATGGTCCGAGCACGGGTGAAATTTTGGTCCGGCACGGATGCGCCAAAGTCGTTTACACGATTAAATCTATCCGTGCCGAACCAATTTTTTTGGTACGCGTACTTTTTTCATCCGAGCCGTGCCAAAAATTTTCGGCCGTGTAAATGGGGCTTCAGTTAACTCTCTCTTAAACAGACAGTTTTTGGACCAGCACTATGTGTCCGCCCTAGGGAGATGCCCTTCTTACACTTTAACTAAAAGAAGTAAAAAAATGTAGGGATCAACTCTATAGGTGTCTGTTTTAGCAAGGTGTCCATATTAAAAGAGAGAATTGACTGTACTTAGCGTAATTATTATTATTATTATTTTCATTTTATTGGAAAGAATTTGGTTATAAAGTGTGGTCGTGCTTTGTATGGTTGTAAGGCGGGATTCCACTCGGTGCAAGCTGAGGTACACCTTTACCGAACATGGGAAAATGTGATTGTAAGTACGCGTTTTTGCTCCTTTTTTTCCAGCTTGGAATGTTTTCCCGTCTTTACAAAATTTACGAAATGATGCAGACCAGGGTAGCAACAAAACCAACCGTCCATCTGATCTGAGAACGATGGCTGCCAGCAAAGGATTTGCAGTTATAGACAACCAAGCAAATGGGAACTGTTTGTTCTATGCATTGTCAGAGCAACTGAGAAGTCTTAAAGGAATTCAAATCTCACACAAAGAGCTAAGAAAAACCTTGGTTCAGTTCCTCGTGGAGAACCCTAATCTGGTAGGTTGATGACTAGCCCAACTAAGGCAAAAATTATCGGCACGGGCCTTAAGTGCCTGCTTGGCGTATTCCTCCGTTAAGGAAGTGAGCGTACATTTATGACTGTCCGATAAGTAGTGCGTCAGCCCCAGCTTTATCTTTCGTTTATACACTTTTAGTAAAATCTAACTAGTGGTCTATTATCAATGCTGCGTTCTGATTGGTTGAGCTACTACTAGGCTATATGTTATAACCCACCAGTAGCGAAAAGCGCGGGCTTTTTGGTGGCAAAAAGGATTAAAGTCTAGCTTTAACCAGCTTAAGTTGTTTTGCCTCGATATTTTTGACCAACTAATTGGATTTTACTAAAACAATTATTCCTCTCGCCCTCATGGCCTCTGAGTAAATAGCCCATAAATAGAATAAATAGCCCTCATGGACTATTGAATGAGAGTCCATTTGGGCTTGAGGAATAATTGTTAAATATCACCCAACTTTGTATCGCGCCAATTTTAATCATTTCCCTTAACTCATTTCGACGTTTCTTTGCTCAACTAAATTGGATAAAAGGATTGAACTGAAGTAAGAACTGAAGTATTATGGGATCAATTCAATTAAGACTAGGCTCTCTCGATCTTTTTTTTTAATCACCCATGTCTTCGTGTTCGTCTGGAATACTTATGCTTTGGCAGTGAAAGTTGGCGTTTGATAGTAAACCAAAAGCAACCTGTCTTGGTGACGTCACACTAATGCGTCATGACTTGAAATAGTTGCCTTCTGTTGCTATCTAAAATTCCAGGGGATCCAAGTGAATTTTTTAATCGCCCTCGGCCCTTACAGTATCATTTCTCTCCGAAAACTGCTTTCAGAATTTGCAGAGAAGTAAAAATTCATTACATTTCAAATTCGCGTTCCTGCGGATCCTTGTGCCTCCCATTGAGGGATTGGTATTAAAGGCTACCCCCGGCAAACCAAGAACTTTTGAATAAACTTTCTTAATTAATAAAGAAACTTTCAAGGAAATTAAAATCACTCCATGTGTGTGCCGCTTAGTCAGATAAAAGTAAAATTTAGGAGTTTAATTGCGTTTGTTGTTGTTTTAGCACGATGGAACACCCCTGCTTAACTTTGTTTCTGAATACTCATCATGGCTTGAATACTTACAAAGTATGGCGAAAGACGGTACCTGGGGTGATCATTTGGTTCTATTTGCTGCAGCAAATTACTTCCAAACTCCCATCCGTATTATCAGCAGCCTTAACCGTGAAATAGGTGTCCAGCCAGATCATGCTGTTTGTGACACCAACCCCCTAGTCCTGGGACACATTCACGATTTACACTACGTTAGCCTTCAGCCCAGACGAGGTAAGACATTTTTTCCAATCACAAGCATGTTGGTATATTTGACTTGTGGGGAATGTGGTTTTGGAATTGTTATACACATCATCAGTATAGGTATGATCATGATGATGATGTTGATACCGTGAATGTCTCTCTGACAATGAAGTTAATTTTTTTTCTAAACAATAAGTTGTTCCTGCTTAATCTGAATATACTAGTTGTGTAAGATGCCCTTTCATCGGATATTGTAACCTTGTAAAAGTTAGTAAGCGGAAAACAACTGTTTGTTTTATGTGCAAGTCGTACTGAGTTAAAAAACGGACAAGGTTTGGCTATAAGTTTCTCAGAGCATAACATTTTATATTTCAGCGAATTAATGTAACGCTTGAGAGGTTAACTCTCTAACTGAATTCGCATTAAAATTTGGAATTATGCCATTCCTACCTCCATACATTGCACTTAGGTTTAGTAAACATTACAATTATGCTAGTGCTTTAATTTCATAAAAATTGGTTGAAGCGTTAACTCTTATGATGCAAAAAAGTACCCTGATTCAGTTGAACTTTGGGGTGTAAGCGAACACTGTACGTAGAGTCTGTCAAAGGGCAATAGTGATTTTTTTTTCAATCTGTACATCTGCATGTCAATGATGTTAACTTTTTGACTTGCATTCTTTGCATTTTCTTTCCTGAACTTCAATCAATTAACATTTTGGGGAGTTTTAGAATTTTCTGTTCTTTTGCTCTGTCTTTTAGTTTTAAACTCAGTACAAAGTTTACAAGTGTTTATTGACATGCATTTTTTACTATTCTGTATCAATATGAATTTTAATTATTAAATGAACATAATTTTGTTTTGAATATTAATTAATAATAAAAACATTAATAAAACATTGTCATCAATATGAATAGGAAGCCAGTTCAAAGCTATTCAAAATGATGTCCGCGCGTACTCTGTACTATTGTATGTCACTTTTATTGGGCTGCCTACTGTATTTTCTATGGCATGGTATTACATGTAAATGATGTAATGCTTTCTCGTGGTATACATGTACTATGAAATATCCCATGTGTTACTTGTATTTTCTATATACACTCGCTTAAAGGCTTGCGAGTACAGTATATTAAGAAAATACAAACTTGGATAATTCCGTGGTATACTGTACATGTACCATGAGAAAGCGTTGCATAACTAGTATAAAGCTAATTGAGCTTGTACTTTATAAAGCACCCAGTATTTTGATTTTTTTATAAATATGTCCAAATTTTAATTGAATCAATTTAATCTCAGCTTTAGGTTTTTTGTAGTGCCATGGAGAATTATAATGTTCATGGAAATGTTCATGTATGTCTTAATTCTTATTGGCTAATGAGATTAAGTACCAAAACAAATCATTTGGATGTATATAGCAGGGTATGTCCCCCAACAACTGTTTGCATTTTTAAGCCAGTCTCAATTTCAATCAATCTTTGAATTATAATTATCATTAGCATTTTTGCTGCATCTTTTTTTTTCATTTTTGAATTATACAGTTCATGTAGAGACTAGTACTGCAGGAGCAGCTATCACCACGAGACCTGGTGCTGCTGGGCCTTCAGGTTTAATCAGCCAGACCCATCATGACCAAGGTACTACGCTGCATAGCCAGCAGTAAAATGAACACTGTTAAATGTGTTCATCTGCTTGAGGGAATCTGTTCTTATGAGGAGTCTCAAACAACGGTTTTCATGGACTACTATATACATGTATAACCACAGATTAGTTTGATTGTGAGCTCTTGTCACTGTTTTCATGTGTTTTAATTGCGTTAACATTTTCCCCCCTTACTGTAAGTTCCTGTAGGATGGACCTATTTTTCAGGAATAGAGACCCTGGCCATGGGGCTTTCATTTATTAGTTTCTGTTCTTGGTCATTTGTATATTCATGACGGTAAGATCATGGAATACAACCCTGGTCATTGTTAGACCACTGTGGTACTCACAAGAGTCAACAGATGCAAGATTACTGGTGGTACTATACTTCCTGTAGTATATCTATAAAATGGTTGGTCAAGTTGCTTGCACTTCATTGGGGTTATTTTCAGATTTCTAGTATTAATTTGAATCATACAGGTTGAATTAAACCAAAAAATTGTTATGGTTATTTTTTTTATGAACTTGTCCAAATTAAATTAGAGTTAGTTTTTCGTTAATGCCATTTAAGCTGTTTTATTATTATTATTATTATTATTATTATTATTATTGTTTATTATTTTGGCTGGCTCAAGGCTTGTATTCCTTCAGGTCCTGAGCAGGGAGAGGTGAGAGGTGCAAGTGGTCTTTCATCTGTGGTCTCCCCAGATTCTTGTACAAGTGAGCAAGCTCATCATGACCAAGCTGGTAAGATGCATGTTGTTTGAAGTGATGAATAAACATGTATTTAAACATGTATTTTAGAGAAATGGTAGGAAATAATATAGAGGCTGAATACTTGCAGTTTCTGTAGATAAGCCTTGACGAGGCCATCGTGGAAATGACTTGTGGAAGACTGGGACTGGACACCAGCATTTTAGGGCAAATTAAAAAATAAACAATTAGCTTAGTTGATCAGTTAATGAAGTACTTATGGAAAGGATTGATAGATAATCGGCTGAAATTATCAGATAATAACATGAGAACGGCATTCTGGGGGAATTAAAGGGGCCATGTCATGAAATTATCAAAATTCTAACTGTCGGACCAGGCACCAAATTAAGTGAAAGATAGAAATAACCAATCAAACCGTTAAAATAAAGTTTAAAAACACATCAAATACAAAGAAGGCAGGGAAGGACATACTCGAAGAATATTGAAACGAATGACATGTGGTTTTTGAAACGTTTGATATAATGCTTGGGAGGTATTTGTTGCACAAGAATATAACGTATTCTACAGACTACTATCAACGTCTTACTTTAGAAAGCTGGTTTACTAACTTAGAACAAACGCCACTGAATCGGAGCCAACAGTTACCAGCGCCGTACAAACGACATGTTGACGAGATGAAGCAAAACTAACTACGAGAGAACGACTGGAGAACTGACAATTTGACTTACAATAGACGACTGATTAACTGTGACAATAGACTGATCGAAACGCACCAATTACTGATTACGAGTCTTCATAGCCAATAACATCACGGCTTAACTGACAGACGACCAATAACATCACGACGTAATTGACCAATCAGATCAAAGACAAGAGTATAATACCATCAACTGACGTGATACAGCTCACTTTGACTCTGAAGATGACTACCGCACAGGTTGTGGAAACGTCAGTCACTGTCAACAACAACAGTCCTATTCAGGACTACGTTCACCTGGACGATCAAACTCAACCTACTCTTGAAGAATCTGTACGTTTGTCATTTGCAAGAAATGTCTTCGCCTCGCTAACATCAACTGAGTTCCATATCGCGTAAGGGTTCGTAACTGGCATTATGAAAAAAAAAAAAAAGAAAAAGGAAACAAAGGAGGCAAAAACGGCCGGTGACACAGCCCCGGACGGCTACAGCGGTGAAAGTGTCACTCTTTAACAAAAAGTAAATTCCCGTTCTTTCACATTTCAGTCTTTTCCGACTCCCCCTCTTTGAGTTCCCAAGAACCATATCCAAAGAAAAAAGGGAAAAATCGTCGTCGCTTGTTTACGTCCTCCATAAAACGTAAAGTTGAGTATTTAGTTTCACGTCGTAGTCGTGCAATAACGACAAAGAAACGTGAAAAAAATGTGATGCACGTGCAAATGAAAGTTGTTGTTTTGCTTATTTAACCTAATAGCCCACGTTCGATTTATTAAAATTCCAACATGACTCCGAGGCTTTAGGGACAAAATTGCAAATCTTTCACGACTTCATTGTTTCGCAATTCCCAGAAGAGACTTGAGCAAAAAGAAAAACAAGCCAAATGTAGAAAAATGATCAGAAAGCCTCGGAGTCATGTTAGAATTTTGATATATCGAACGTGGGCTATTTCTAGCCGCACTACGCTTCCCGACTACGTAAAGGGTAATGGCGGATTGTAGTGTGAAGTACGTAAGTAGCCTTTTCACAGACCCTCTATTTTCTCACGCGTGTCTCTCTCGCGCGCCCCGTTCTTTCTTGCGCCCACTACTTTCAAGCACATACTACGCGGGCTAGCTAAAAGTTATGTTTTTAACTATTGTACAGTGACTTAGAATAGTGGTGATTTATTTTTGAGTACTGTCTATATTAACTAATTGTGCCGAATTTTCTTGTTCATTGTAGGCTCATCTTCAGTTTTAAAGTCCACTCAAGAGGAACTCAATTATTCTCGTTTATGTCGCCTGCTGATCAGCATAGGCTCGCGAGTGCTAAGAGATACATTCGATAGCATCATTCCACCGGAGAATCTTCGAGAATTGTTGAAACGTGACCCGGTGCACTCCAGACTACAGTTACTGCGAAAGGAAGGAGTCCTAACTTCAGTACATTGGAATAGGTTATACCCTGCCACACCCACTGAAGTGTCATCTGCAAGCTTTGATATCCCCCTCCTGATAGTGCTTCTAAGAACAATCTGTAATCTAAGTCCTCCACCCGCTGGCTGGGACACACCTCCTCTTACAGCAGACACGAGTAGTGAATCGGACATTGCGCGCATTAAGTACTTCGTGCACGTCGTGTCCACACATGCCGCGGAAGGCTCTGTGAGTGATGCTGTATTCAGTAGCTACTGGCGGCATATCCGTGACACACTGGTACGATTGGGAGCAGCTGGTTATGAAGATGTCATTGATGAAATGAAAGACCAGGACATTGAATTCCTCGATGAGGAACATTTCAGAGAACTTCTCAAGCAGTGGAAGAAGGTGGAAGACGACATCAAAGAGAAGCTGAATGAACTGGAAACAGTAGAAGCTTCTAAGGAGAAAGGTATTTACAGTAGATCTTTTGCAGCTTTGGGTCGTTATGGGATACAACCCTGCCAATTTGTAGGTTTTAAACACTTTTAATCAAACTACCATAAGTTCGCAGTATTTGATTAACAGGGACTTGATGTTATGGAAATATCGCCGGATGCAACAATTGTTTCCATACAAACCCTTATTTATAATTTGTTAGACGTTCCTGCACCTATAAAATGTTAGGTTTATGTGTCAGTAACCTCAAAATTACCTATCGAGGGAATACTCTCGTACACCGGCAAGCAGGGCAGAATAGTGTAGGATCAGTTGATCCTAAAAAGTTTGGAATTTTAAGCTGCGTGAAGGTCATGTAAGAAATGGTAAACGTGCAGCGTGCAACCATGCAGTTATGGATGCACGCCGGAGGTTGCTAAGCACGAAAGAAGCGTAAGAGTCGCACGAGGAGATAGCCGAGTGCGACTCTAGCTTCTTGAGTGCTTAGCAAACCTCCCGAGTGCATCCATAACTCCATGGTTGCACAGCTGCAACGTTTACCATTTCTTTTATAGCATAATCAAAAGAGAAAAACATTATTTTCCATTTGCCCTCGTTTGAGTCATCGGTCCGAGTGGTTGAGTCATCGGTCCGAGTTCATGTATGCTGCCATCTGCCCGTCCCTTTGAGTTTTTCTTTCGCTGAATCAACCATTCTCCATCTACAGGTACATTGCAAAACGTTTTTCGTTGTTATTCTGAATGGCATCTGTCTACTTGCTTTTAATTTTAGGGTAAAAACTTTGAGGGAAAACTATAGCTGCAACTATAAACACCAACTACTAAAGACTCTAAAAAATAAGCTAAAACTAAAGAAATGAAATAATTATCAAGCTTATTTATGTGACAATGTTTGAAATAAACGTAAAGTAGAAATGAGAAAATTTGACTGTAATTCCTTAAGAATAACAGGTAGCACTAATTTTAAAAAGAAATTAACCAGCTTTGTATCGAAATCTGTGTTGGGAAATCCAGCTATGAAAGTCAAACTTGCAACTGAAATTCGCCAACACACAGCCGGTGCTGAAGCTGCTGTTTTTCGGCCGTTCTCTGAACGACTGTTATGTGAGTGAATGAACACGGAGGAACCAAATAATACACAGAGAAGTTTTTTTCTGAAAAATGTATTTGAAAACCCAAATCACGGTTTCTGTACTCAAATGAAATTCGCTTATTCCAGCGTAATGTGCCCGTTTAAACTCAACTAAAATTTTCAATCGATGCGATGAAAACTTCACAACAAAGCTGTCTCGAATTTGAGCGTGTTTCCTCAAATATTTGCTTGAATTTAGCATCAGCTTGACCAAAAAGTCAATAACACGATGCTAACTGATAAATTTACATTTCAAACATACTTTCTATTCTATAAAAAAAAAACACACAAAATGTACCTTAAATCTTCGCTCGCTCGATTTTCCTTCAGCCGATTCTAGCCGCGAGGAAAACAGTGTCATCCAGGGCAAATTTGTCACTTCATCCTTTGTCTTTTTTCCTTCAAAACGACAGCTTATTATTTTCTTCGCCAAGATTTCCGTACAACCCCATACATTAATTATGCATACATTCATTGTTTAAAGAAAACAAGAGACAGAACAATACTAAGCCTTTGAGATTTCAAATGATCTTGTGGTAATTAAATCACTAAGTGTTTTTAAGTGTATTACGGTATTAAGTGTTCTGTAATGTTTTGTGGGGCCTCGATTGTGCCGTATTTCAAGGTCTCCTGATATGTGGTCGTGCATTGTATGGTTACTTCTGTTCGCTTCGTACAGTTGTCATCCAACCTTTATAGCTATTATGACATCCATTTAGTTTCTGTGGTAGCAAAACTCGCAGACGACCTGAAAACTTTATGCCAGCGGTTGCTGTAGAAGCTGCGATAATAGTTGTTTTTTTTTTAGATTGACCCCTTAGTTGTTTGTTTGTTTGTTTCTTTTTTTTTTTCAAAAGCAAGAGTCTTCCAGAGCGACTTTTTGTAACGGTTTAAAATTTCAACATAGTATTAGTTTGTTTTCATATTCTTGTCATTTCCAGCATTGGGTGTATTTCGAACTAACAATAGCCTGCTCCCCAGTTGGCTTGATTAGCTTAATTAATGGATAGAGCGTTGTGTCTATCGCAAAGGTCAGGGTTCGATTCCCGGTTAAGCCTGAATTTTTTAGGTTCTTTTTCAATCTCTTAAGTTGTCTATTTCACTGCGAGGATCATTCTCATTTTCATATTGTTTTCAGAGTTGTTTTAATAAACGTTAAATACTACAGTGGAAGCTACTGAAATTTACGCGAAAAGATGTTTTTACAGTTCATAACACTGGTTAATATAGCTGGAATGTGGAAGTACTTCAAAGGTTATCTCTTGTGGGCATAATTAAGTGTACCATAGAAGGTTGAAAACAAATTTTAATCCAATGAGAGGGAACTTGTCTTTGCTTTTCTTAAATGGAGGTGAATTCACCCCACCACCCACTCCGCCGTAAGTTCATAAAGAGTAAAACTGTTTGGCACGTGCATAGGTAGGAAATTCTCTTCAATGAGAAGTAGACAGTGAAGAATTTCACTCAGCGAGAACACATGCTCTTCGCGTTTTTCACCACGCTCATTTTTCCCCTTCTTAACCCACTTTTGAACGCTCGCCATGCCGGCGACAGTTTTGGAGCACGTGAAAACGTTTTTTAAGCTAAAGCTACCTTCGTTTTTTAATGTATCCAATAACTAATGGAGATAATTTAAAACAAACCAAATTAAATGGGGCTTTTATTGTTTACTAGGTCAACGTTTGCCATACCCAACCGATGTCGTAGAGAAGATCCGTCAGCTCTACAGAACACGTGAACAACGCCTTCTGCCTGTCCCTTGGTTGGACGAGTTTAGCTTTCATATCAATGATATTTTTACCAGATTAAAAATCTTGGGCAAAGAAAAAACCCAAGGAGTACTTACTGACGATATAACCAATATGACTGCTATCTTTAAGGCGCACGCAGAATGCCAAAGGCCGCGAACAGTCTTGATCGAAGGAGATCCTGGTATGGGAAAAACTACGTATTGTCAGAAGCTGGCTTATGATTGGGCAACTAAGCAGAACGATTGGGACCCGTGTTTTCCAGAGATTGAAGTGCTACTGCTTCTTAAATGTCACGAAATTAAATCTAACATCTGGAAAGCTATTGATTATCAAATTCTCCCTGAGGAAATGGACACCCAAGCTAAGGAATGCTTCTTTAAATTCATTCGTGAAAATCAGTCCAAGGTTCTTTTAGTTCTCGATGGACTAGACGAAGCGCCTATTCGTAAGCTCAAAATGTTCTCTAACCTCATTGAAAGTAAAGAACTCTCAGGTTGTTACATTGTTTTCACATCTCGTCATGAGGCTGGAAGGAATGCAAGGCGTTACTGTGACATTCTGTGGGAGATTGTAGGATTTACCCAAAAAGATGCAGAAAGCTTTATTTATAAATACTTTAAAAACGTCAACAAAGAGCATTTGGCCAGGAAGCTTGTAAAAACGCTATGGTCCCGGTCATTTGAGTCAGGACAACCTAACGATCTGCGCGATTTGACTAAAAATCCTTTAAACACTGCTTTACTTTGTGTTATCTGGGAGGATTTAAAGGGCGTGTTTCCAACGAGCAGAACTGAATTGTACATTGAGATTGTTCTTTTTGTTTTGAGAAGATATGAACAAAAGCAAGGACTACCGAGCGAGAATGAAGACCTCTTGTCCGTCTACAATAGACTTGATATATCTCGGAAGAATGGCGTTGGAGTCTCTTCAAAACGGAGAGTTGTGTTTTGAAGAAGATGAATCATGCCGTCGCTGTATCGTCTTATCCAAGATCGGATTCCTTTTACTTCAGCCTGCTGTCAGTAAGAGGAGAGTTCGGCGTACGCGTTACGCATTTCTTCATAAGAGCTTTCAAGAATTCTTTTCTGGATTCTTCCTTGCTTGCAGACTTATTAAAGGACAAATTAGCTGCGAGTCAGTAGTGACTGACCAAAGATATGAGAGTGAACTATATCAAGTATTTGTATTCTTGATTGGGATACTAGTGTCAAAAAGTAAGAAAACGGCAGAATCTCTCGTTAAAAGCGTGGCTGCAAATATCAATTTCACAAGTCATAGGTTAGACAAAGACGCATCTAAAGACCTTTCAAAACGTGTATTATTTTCTCTAAGTAGTTTATCGGAGCACGCAAGTTTACTTCAAGCCTTAGGAAGACACCTTAACTTTACTCAATTAAATTTGAGGGGGGACCAGATTGGCAAATCTGGTGCTGCGTCCCTTTCTCGGGCTTTTGCGGTCAACTCCTCTTTAACTAATTTGAATTTGAGAGAAAATGACATTGGTGATTCTGGTGCTGCATCTCTTTCCAAGCTTCTGAGAGACAACTCCTTCCTAACTAATTTGAATTTGAGGTGGAATCATATTGGTGATGTTGGCGCTGTTTCTCTTTCCCCGGCTCTTGTAGTCAACACCTCCTTGACTAATCTGGATTTGAGTCGGAACCGTATTTATGATTCTGGTTCATCTATTTTTCTGGCTCTTAAAGTCAACTCCTCCTTGACTAATTTGAATTTGAGTGGGAATGATATTGGTGATTCTGGTGCTGCATCTCTTTCCCAGGCTCTTGCAGTCAACTCTTCCTTAACTAAGCTGGATTTGAGTGAGAACAGTATTGGTGATTCTGGTGCTGCATCTCTTTCCCAGGCTCTTGCAGTCAACTCCTCCTTAACTAATCTGGATTTAAGTGAGAGCAACATTGGTGATTCTGGTGTTGCATCTCTTTGCCAGGCTCTTGTAGGCAACTCCTCCTTAACTAATCTGTATTTGAAAAGGAACAGCATTGGTGATTCTGGTGCTGCATCTCTTTCCCAGGCTCTTGCAGTCAACTCCTCCTTAACTAATCTGGATTTAAGTGAGAGCAACATTGGTGATTCTGGTGTTGCATCTCTTTCCCAGGCTCTTGCAGTCAACTCCTCCTTAACTAATCTGTATTTGAAAGGGAACAGCATTGGTGCTTCTGGTGCTGCATCTCTTTCCCAGGCTCTTGCAGTCAACTCCTCCTTAACTAAGCTGGATTTGAGTTGGAACAGCATTGGTGATTCTGGTGCTACGTATCTTTCCCAGGCTCTTGCCGTCAACTCCTCCTTAACTGAGCTGAATTTGAGGGAGAACGTTATTGGTGATTCTGGTGCTGCTGAACTGTCCAGTGTGTGCAACGTAAATACGACTACTGAACTGTTTTGGTAGCGCATGATAATGATGATAAATTGACCGTCAGGATGATTACAATCTTGTGATGCGGAGAAGGAGGATGACAAACACAAGTATGTAAATAAGTAATGTTAAAATGAGGACAATCGTAACGATGATAATCCTTGTATTTTTAAAGTGAAGGACAGTCAAACGGATCGTTTTCGGAGTACTATTTGTGAATATCCAATAGAACCTTTGTAATTCGTAATTTGTTTATCTGTGCATTGTTTGTTTAAGCCAATAGAAAACGGCGGAATAGTTTGAATTACAAAAAATGTTTTAATTTTGCTCAGCCTCAAACGACGACAATTAACACATTCAGTTTTTTCAAGTTTTACCTTAGAACTACAACCGAACGTCGATCACGCAGTCACTTTGATTTCGGAGAAAGCACAATTGGCCTCTTAATTGAGGTCTGGCTTCCAATGATTTATTTATTGACGCCAGTTTTGATGACTGGCCGCTAAGTTGAGGAACGCTGTTTGATATAATAGGTTTCGATTGTACATTACATGTAGCGTGGTCTTTGTGTAATCTTTAGTTT